ATTCAGAACAGGTACCCAGCTCTTATTGAGGAAACCAGTCTTATCGTTGACGCAATGAATGATAATCTGACGAGTATCATTACAGAGTGTGCAGTGTAAGTTGGAGGTACGGTAGATGGACAGGACACTGGCAAGCTTTCCCAGGAAACGAATAATCTCATTAAGATGCGTCAAATCATGAAAGTCTGAAGTACAACAGACAAAATAGAACTGGCAGAGCTTTCGAAGTTAAATAATAGGCGTAAGGTATCTGATGTAAGAAGGTATAACATGGAGTGAATTGAATACGCTCTGAAAAACGGAGGAAGCGTCAAAGCAGTGAAGAGGAAACTTGGGATAGGCAAAAATCAAATGTATGCACTAAGGGACAAAGAAGGCAAAATAACTACCAATATGGATAGGATATTTGAAATAGCGGATGAGTTTTACAGAGATCTGTACAGTAGCCGAAACAACCATGAACTTAATACAATTAGAACTAGCAATAACCCAGATGACACCCCACTAGTAATGATAGAAGAAGAAGTATAACCACGACCATAATTGGTCGTGGTTGTCCTGGCTACTGTACAGATCTCTGTAACACTCTTCTGCTATTTTAACTATTTTATCTATATTAGTAAATACTTCGCCTTCCTTGCCTCTTAGTGCATACATCGGGGTTTTGCCTATCCCAAGTTTTCTCTTCACTGCTTTGACGCTTCCTCCGTTCTTAAGAGCGTGTGCAATTTCCTCCGTGTTATACCTTCTTACATCAGATACCTTACGCTTAGTAATCAACTTCGAAAGCTCTGCCAGTTCTATTTTGTCTGTTGAAGTGGAGGCTTTCATGCTTTCGCGCTTTTTGATGAGGTTCTTCGTCTCCTGGGACAGCTTGCCAGTGTCTTGTCTCACTACCACACCTCCAACTTCTACTGCACACTCGGTAATGATACTCGTCAGATTATTATTCATTGCGTTAACGCTAAGGCTGGTTTCCTCGATAAGAGCCGAGTTCCTGAAGAGAGACTCTGAATTCCTGTACTTTCCCTCTCAGTGCTAGCTGGTATATTGGCCTCTTGAGTATCATTTTCTGTCGTTCTGTCTTCAAGTCTAGATGAATTCAACACCGTACCATTCTATGGTCACTACATCGTACCTTGCGAAGCACTTACACATCCTGCACGATGACTGGGTGTGCACTCAGCATGAAGTCTATTTCGTTCTTAATTTTGCCATTAGGGCTCCTCCATGTCCACTTACGGTTCCCTTGTTTTCGGTAGAAGGTATTGAAGATTCGTAAATCATTGCGTTCGGCGAGTTATACTAAAGCTCCCTTCTGCATGGCATTTTTAGTACCGACGCCATAATCTCCTACTGCCTAGTCTCCAGCCTGCTTCTTCCCTACCTTGGCATTGAAGTCGCCCACCAGATGGTAAACCTCATTAATTGATCATTAAATCTATGTTTTCACTGTTGTTCAGAATATCTCAATCCAAGAATAACTTCAATTAACTTTCATTCTTGTTTGAGCTGGCGCTTATGGTTGGTATTACACACACATAGGTGAAGCCGACTACGTTCCCGTTAAAGAACAGAGAATGTCTTACGGATGGATTTGTATTTTACGGTGGATGTTCAGAAAGCGATGTCAAACAATCTTCCATGTGTTGGTGTAGCTCTCGGGTATACAACTTCAGGCGTCTCAGCGATGGAAAAAAGCGCTCTCCTTCAGCTGTGCTCACCGGCAGAGCTGCCGGAATATTTAGAAAAGGTTGCATGTTTGGGAAGAATTCTTTCCGGGCAATTGGCAACCGCTTGCATAGCAGAAATGCTCAGCGTTTCTCGCTTCTCTCGCTTCCATTTCGTCGCCTATACTGCTAACTCCCATTGCAATGCTTAAGTTGAGATAATGTTCGAGTATACACGTCGATAACTTCTCCGTGGTGGGAAGAGTGGCAGGTTCGGGAATGTTCTGTGGCAGAAGCGAAGAAAACATTTTCAAGGTGTGCCGATGCACTTTAAAGCGCTCATTGAAGTGGTCTATTAAATAGTCCAGAAAAGGCCAGAAATACTGAAAGCTTGAAGTGCTCACCATGCCAGCCACTGACAAGTCACTTCGATGAAGCTGCCTGCCTGTGACAATCAGCATTCTCATTTTCGCCAGTTGTCAAGTGTGCACTGGGAGCAACGCCGCTTTTCGGGAAATAATCAAGTGTTATACCTTACAGTGTTTTGGTGCGACCATCGAGTCTCAAAGAGGGCGCTGAACGACCCAGGACACGAACTACCAAGCAAAACGTGTCGGCAGCGTATCTCAAGGGGGTGACTTCACATTGCTAGGAAGCAACGAGCTGAGCAATATTCGGGCAGTGACCCTGAATGCGAGAAACGAGAACTTTAGCGACGATACATGTCGGCTGGTAAAGTTCCGCCTTAAACACTAGCGCTTGTTTCTCGGCTGGCGTAAAGATTCGCGGGTATACATTTCGTCCGCTTCCTTTCAGGTGTCGGTAAGGTCGCGCTCGCCTAGTATCTTACTCTGTGCACGAGATGTCTCACGTTTGTGATTGTGCCCACACGGAAGGCTAGTAGTTTCTTTCGCGTTGTGATGAAATACCACAAACGTGAATGAACGTGAAGGAGGTGATTGCAGTAGTGAAATTCCAGTGACTTGCATCAGAATGCCCGAAACAGACAACCAACAGGAATGGACGGTGCACAGTAGAGCGTAAGTAAACTCGTGTTGCATGCACTGGCAGTTCTCGCCGGAGTTCACACGTTCTGAGAAATGGATCATGCTCTGAGCAATTCCGGAGTTCATTCCTTCATCTCTGGTGAGCCGATCAATGATGATTTTGTGTGGTTCGAGTCTTCTCCTGTTCACGCTGGTGTAAGTACTAGAAACATGAATGGACGCATGCTACATGGTGAAATATTCTGTACAGTTCTTAATATGTTCAGGTAAAGTGAAAAGTAGGCTGCACGCTTGCAAACAACGGAAGACACCTTGCCGCAACGCTATCGTTTCAGGGAGCTGAAAGAAGAGATCAACGACACACACACACAAAAACGAGAACATACTACGTTTTTGCGCGCATTTCAGTGTTTTAGCGCATATGCGCAGCGACCAAGTTTGATGCGCGTAGGTGCGTATAGTCCGGTCGCACGTACACTTTTGATATAGACCAAGTGGACATTTCTCATCAATGTTTACCTTGCCCTCGCAGATTGCACAGTAAAACCTCTACGATTGCAGTACTTCATTGCTATCAATAGTCACAGTGCAACTGAAAGTCTACCTGATAATTAACGTGTGCAAATTAGTGTTGCCAATATGCAGCATATCTTACAAAAAAAATTACTTATTGCGTACCGCAAGCATGCTTGGATGCACGTTGTAAAGTAAAAAAAAATGACTAAAAGCTACCACTGCTGGGTGGCTTGACATAGAGAGATTAATGTATAAATCATTCCCACAGGCATGAAGTCACAGACATCGACAGTAAGAATTTCGCTCTACAAAGTAAGCAAAACCAAAATGTAATTATGAATGTACAAAAACATGCTATGTACACCTCTCATTCCTCGTTGTAAGCGGAACCCTCCTTGACCTGTCAAACGCACTTCGCCCTGATGAGGACTGCGACGTCTACACTTAACAAAGATTAACGAATAGCGATGTAGTCTTCAATTGGGTTGGTAATCGCAATAATGCGTTTTTGAAGAGTAGTCTGTTCAATGGTGCGGCGAGAGGCTGTTGCTCCAAACGCTCACTGTACCTGTCATTTACTGTATTTAGAGTACTTAACTTACAGTACTGCACCACCGCCGTGGTCTAGTGGCTAAGGTACTCGGCTGCTAACACGCCGGTCTCAGTATCGAATCCCGGGTGCAGCGGCTACATTTCCCATGGAGGCGAAAATGCTGTAGGCCCGTGGGCTCAGATTTGGGTGCACGTTAAAGAACCCCAGGTGGTCCAATATTCTGGATCCCTCCACTATGGCGTCTCTCATAATCATATAATGGTTTTGGGACGTGAAACCCCACATATCAATCAACCATTCTTACAGTACTTTCATTTACTCTCTTCACAACTATACGCATGGGGAGAGGGGAAATTTATGACTTGATATGCATGCACTGCTACCGCTCGTCACGTCACAGAGAAAAGCTGATGCCTGTGCTCCCCCCCCCCCCACGTTGGTTGTGTGTGACCCCCTCCCCCCTATAAAAATTCTGGCTACGTCCCCGAGTCTACAACGTTGTCACCTGCGTGCTCATTTTTAGTCTGGGTATTTTTAGTGAACAACGACCTAACTAGCACAACCGTATCCTTTCGCGTCCGACGAGGTGGGCGCAGTGTTGTGTCATAGCCTCCTAGATTTCCCTTGCCTGCCTGATTATCGGTGGTCACTTAAAAAGCGGCCGTCACTGGAACTATGGTGGTGGCGCCACCTAAGTAGGGGTGTTTTCAAATAAGTTTTTACGTTTTATGGAACTTATATGCAACAACAATAACGTAAATATTTTAAAAAGACGTAAACGTAGTTTTAATCAACCCTACGCAAGTGACGCCGTCATTGAACAGGCAACTTCTTCAATACAAGGCACAGCCTCTGAAATTAGTAGCAAACGCCAAAATTGCCTATTCTAAAAGCCAAGTACAAAGACCTTTACCCCTACGTAGGCAGCGCCGTCATGGATGACCGGCGTTTCGCGCTCAACCGGCAGGCAAGGGAAATCTAGGAGGCTGTGGTTGTGTATGAAGTGCCCGTCGCGTGATTCGCGGGAAGATGTAGGGCTTCACCGATACAACTACTAAATTACCTAGCCAAAAAAGCGAATCTTTTTTGTCAGTTCAGCGGATGGGATCATTTTTACTTGCCAGCCGAAACAGATTGAAATTCCCTCCCAAACTAACCCACCAATCACATTTTTGCTCACTTTTTCTTCTGTACAGCGGTTATACCCGTTGACATCTTGGCAACACTGTTGATACCGCAGTGACGCTTGTGACGAATCTGTTTGTAGTTGCTCCTTCACTTGTCCTCGTTCACTTTTGCTTTGCGCCTGTCTGCATTGCCTGCAAGCGCAAAGTTATGAGTGAAAGCGGGCGTTGATATGTGAAATCGCCGCTACCGCTATCATGTGAGCCTCTTTTGATATTTGCTTCTCCCGTTTGCATGCAGGCATTTAAGCCTATATGTTTCTCGGAATTGACGTATTCCATTCATAGCACTTGTTATCCCATTCGCTTAAGTAATACCTAATAATGATCGCTTTCAAATTCGGAAAGTGACGACTGGTTCGAAACAGAGTGTTGGTATTGCTTTACGCCGAGGTTGTGTGGACGAAGTCGCTGGTGCCGCTGGTTTGCAGAATGCTGATGGCAGATATGACGATGCATTGGTTCGTGAACGCGGGTTCGTGTCCGAGGGCGTGTGCCTTCTCTGGCACTTCACCCCGCTGATAGTGGTGCTGGTCTTCAGCCAAAGAAATGAGCACACGCGTTTCAGCGTTATTATGGTGTTTTCCCCGCGCGAGCTGAACACTTCTTGAATATACGAGCGCATGTCTGCGAACCTCGCACAATGAAATTAGCATTGGTTACTTACAACCTAAAACAGCACGGTACGCGTCACGTTCGCCTGAGCGTAGCCAGGTTGTATGTACTGGGCTAGTGCAAAGCACCGACCTTCCGCTAACTCGGTCATTGCATGTTTCCCATGTGTACGATTGTGAACTGCGCTTGCTTGCCACACAGAATGAGACGGCTAATGGCAAGCCGTGTCTTCCATGCATTTTTATGCTCTTCCGACGACTTGCGTGGTTGCCTGTGTTTATATTGTTTGCTTTCGCACCGCTTCGTTTCACTGTCAAGTGCTTGTGATTTTAGAGCAAACCCCTGTCACCATTTGTGCATGCTTATGGTTGAGTGAATTCGCCTTTTGTAGTTGACGTACGATACTCGTAGTAATAATAGTAAAAAAAAGAATGTTGTGTTCTGGCGTAAACAAGCGCGCGCGCGCGCGCGCGCGCGCACACACACACACACACACACACACACACACACACACACACACACACACACACACACACACACACACACACACACTTTATCGTGCCTACTTGTTTGAAATAGAAATTCTTCACAAGGACTGGAACTGTTTGAAAAAGTGATACTTCTGACCTGGGCTACATATTCTGATATAAATGTAAAGATGAGACTATTGTTGCTTATGGTAATGAAGCTGTTTTGCATGGGAATGATAACATGTCATAATGCTGCTTAATCTAAAATTTGCTAATGCTTGTTGATTATGATTCATAGTGAATGAATGACAGCGTGGAAGACAAGGTGATGCCTGTGGGCTGTTCCTACCCTGTGAATTCACTTGCCAGTGAAGACTCCTTGTAAAGCATACTGACAAACAAAAACCTTTAGTAGTTAATACACTAAAAGAGATTGAGTTCTTGGAGGTTGGCCAACATGCCTATGCTAGAATTGTCAGGTCAAGCTCTCTGGCTTGACCTGGCAGCTTATGAGCTCTACATGGTTGAATCTGTGTCACCTGTTTGTGTCACCTGTTTACTTCAAATGTGTGATTGTTCTAGCATTATGTTGCCTCGTAGGTGCATGTATGTTCAGTAAAATAGTGCAGGGCAGGCGTGAACAATAATCATAAGCAATGGGGCATGTGCTTGACCCTCAAATTGGGCGGTCACCCAAGATTCTATACAAGATGAAAATGAAGCCTAAAATAACTCTGCCAAATGTCGGTTCTGCTAGTTTTTCAAGGAAGTCACCTGACATGCGTGTTCACTCTGGTTGCTCATAAATTTCAAGTTGTTTAGTGAAAACTATAAGTATCTGCCCCTTATTACAATACAATATACACAATTTAAAGGTTGCAGGTTTGGCTCTTGCCAGTGGCAAGTTATCTTTTTGTCCACTTTTCTTAGTTCACATTTGCTTTACAATTACTACTAATAACATCCCCTATACTTTCCTTGGCATTATTGTCTGTTAGTTCTCATTAACATTGTATCTAACAAAAAAGAACAAGGCCTTGAATTTCCACTTCATTCCTTGATTCATAGTGAGAGTCTCTTCCTGGCAGACTTCATGCCTTCAGGGGGTATGCGAGAAATTATGGGTCAGCTGCCAGCTTGTAATAAGATCACGTGCTACATGATGCCAACAAGCAGAAAGTGTTCTGCACTTGCCTGCGCCGACTACGACTTCCCTGGATTAAGTGCAAATATATGCCTCATAAATTGGACGGTGGGATGACCCCAGCTGTTCCTTAGTTGGTAGAGCGTTGGATACATTTAATGGTAATAGGTTCGGTGCCTGGCAATGGCACGTTACCTTTCAGTCCACTTTTCTTCACATTTACATTACACTTAGTCCTGTACCATTCTTGCCATAATTGTCTGTTCTCAGTAACATTGTGTCTAACAAAGAAAAGCAATCCCTAAAGTTTCCACTTTTTTCATACACAACTATGAACATTCACCTGTCCACAGCCCCACTATTGATATCGTGACTTTATTTGTAGCTGACGCTTACGAGTGAGGATGTAGTTTGCAGGAACTATTAAGCACATTATGATAAGTACAAGCCTCATGTATCTTTTGTATTTGTTTCTATTCTGACTCTGGTGAATTGTCTTCCTCGGAAAATTGATAATGTGAGTGCCCTTCTCAGGGTTTCAGCAGTCATGGTGGTAGCGCTGGCTGATTTTCTGGCTTGTCATAGGCTTACTGTGTATAAATGTGCCTATCACGTTTTGGTGCCTATGTAATATATGGCATCTTGCATCATTAACATCTTTGTGCTAACCATTTTCTAATACCTGTGTGCTTTATTTTACGATTTAGTAGTAATTGCTGCTATATACAAGGCTGTGTACAGTTTAAAATGTAAATGTGTGTTTGTGTGTATTCCTCCATAAAATATGTATAGCTGTTTTAATCCCACTGACTTATTTGATTTTAAACAGAACCTGGTAAAGCTTTAAAACAGACCTTTCAAGGTTTGCACTGTTTAACACCAAAAAGTAGTAATGATGATGCAGACACAAGAGGTACACGTGTGCAAAAAAAGTTTTTGGTAGAGGAGGTTTGAAGTGTGGGTTCTTCCCGATTACTCAGCTTCCATTGCTTTAAGTGTCAACGACCGAGCACGTTATTCCTTGTTTTTCTCAATGCGCATACTTCCAGATAAGATAGGCAGCAGCCATGGAGTGGGTGTTTTCCTGCTGCATGTAGCGATGAGGAAACTGCTCTGACTGTAGGGCTTTGGAAATTGTGTGCTATGATACATCATTTGTATTCTTGGTTCTGTCTCGACAAGGTAACTCATTGTGTTGGGTGTGTTTTGTGCTGTAAATATAATCTTTACAACGGTGAATTTGTCCACATTTGTTTTTAAATTTTGTTGCCTTCGTGTGATACTTGAAATGACTGCATCAAAAACCCAGGACCTCTCCATAAAAATGTGTGTAGCTGTTTTAGTCCCACTGACTTGTTAGATTTTAAACCAAACCCTGTAAAGCTTGAAAACAGGCCCTTCATTGTTTGCTGAGTTCAACACCTAGAGGTAGTAATAATGATGTGGACATAAGAGGTACAGCATGTGTGTGTCTCATGTGACTGTGTTTTCCCCCCTTTGCCACCTAGAAGTGAAACAAGCAGTAACCGGAGGGCATACAAGAGTGTTCAACTTTCCGCTCAGTGCTAGCTCATTAATGGGCTTCTTGCGTATTAGTTTCTGCCATTCTTTTCTGAAGTCTAGGTGAATTCGAGACCTTACCATTCTATGAGCATAGCTTCAGATCTTTTCCTGTAAAATGCCTGGGTGTGCACACAGAATGAAGTCTATTTCATTTTAGTTTTGCCATTAGGACTCCTGTACGTTCACTTACGGTTAGCCCGTTTTCGGTTGAAGATATTCAAGATCTGCAGATTTTTGGCTGTGAACTCGAGCAGTAACTCCCCTCCGGCAATTCTAGAGCCGATGCCATTTTCCCCTACTGCATGTTCTCCAGCCTGCTTCTTGCTTACCTTGGCATTAAAGTCGCCCATCAGTACAGTATACTGCATCTTTACCTTATTCATTGCTAATTCTATGCCTTCGTGTAAATGTTCAACCAAATGATCATCATGGCTGGATGTAGGCACATAGTCCTATTACCACCTTCGTCTTGTATTTATCATTAAGCTTAATTGTTATACTTGCCTCCTTCTCACTAATAATATAGTATTCCTCTATATTGCCAGCTATGTCTTCATGAATAAAAAACCCACTCTTTGTTCTCTTGTGTCAACTATGCCATCCTAGCATACAATGTGTCTGTCTTCAGCAATGTATTAGTGTTATGGGTCCTCCTAACTTCACCGAGTCCTATTACATCCCACATAACTCTAATTCTTCTAATAGCACAGCTAGCACATGCCTACAGCTAGCACAGCACAGTACATGCTGTTCACTGCATGCTTACAAGAGGTTTTCAGGGCCCTAGATCAGGAAGAATTAGGCAAAAAAGGTAATGGAGAGTATAATAGTAACCTGCATGATGTGTTGATGAGTAACTCGTTGGATGAATTTCAGCTCATTACTACTGAGTGGGACACAAAAAGCAAATTAATATGCATAAAACCAAAGTAATGTGCAGTAGTCTCGGGCAAAGAACAGCGTTTTGTGATAGCGGGCCACACACTGGAAGTTGTAAACGAACGTGTCCACTTGGCACAGGTAGTAACTCCGGAGCCCACACCTGAGAGTTAAAGAACTAGAAGGATGAGGTGGAGTACATTCGGCAAGCATTCTCAATTCATGAATGGTAATCTACCAGTATCTCTCTAGAGGAAGGTATATAACAGCTGCATGTTACCGCTACTTACCTACGGAGCAGAAATTTGAAAGCTTGCAAAAGTGTTTAAATGAGGATACGCTGCAAGAGATGGAAAGAAAAGTGATAGGTGTAACCTTAAAAGACAGGAATAGTGCCGAGTGGGTCGAAAGCAAACGGAAGTTGAAGATATCACAGTTGAAAAATCAAGAAGATAATGGACATGGGCCGGGCACGTGGCGCTTGAGCCGAATAGCCGCTGGTGATTAAGGGTAACTGACCAGATTCCAAGGGGAGGCACTCATGAGAGGGAGACATAAAATTAAGTGGGCAGATGAAGTCTACAAGTTTGCAGATATAGCGTGGCATCAAAAATTACTGGACGGGGTTGATTGACAGAACATGAGAGAGGCCTTTACCCCTGCCTTAGTTGGAAGATGATGATGTACCCATTCATAATACCCATTTTATACATGATGGGCAGTTACAGCTGCACTTTGTTTGCTGCGCTGCATGCTGCATGAGTCGTCTTCAGTTGAAACAGCACACTCTAGATGCAAGAAATGAAGGCAGCGCACATTATTATTCTGTCTCATTTTGTGGTGCATTGTCTGATGGACAGCTTATGTGATGGTAAAGGGCTTCGTTGGAGTGTCTGGTGGTCGGTGGCTTCTGTGCACAGTGTTCCATTTATTACCACAATTGACTCAGTAGGTGTTGGGCTTGTCAGAGCACCTGCATGGGCTGCCGACTGTAGCCTATTTGGGGCCGCTGAAGAACAAGTATTGTTAGAAGATGGTGACCATGTACTTTTTTAAGACAAAGAAGTTGGTTTCCATGGTTGTGAAATTGCTAGTCACTGTTCGGTTATGTACATACAAGCCAAAGAATGACGGTGTTGTGTTTGGTGTGGACACTTGTTCTTTGAAGGCACAGGTATGGCAGCAGATTAACCGAAAGTGCTAGCAGGTGCCCTTTAGTGCCACTAGCAAGCCAGCAGTTCTCGTTCAGTAAATTCTACTGGGTTTCTGCAGCAATCTGTCAAGTTGGAGTCATTCTGAAAGTATAGGTTTGCTGTGGTGCTTAACGTAATTGCACTGACCAAGGTCAGCAACCTGACTTGATATGTTGGCGATTGGGTCAAAGAGGAAATGTCTTGCTCATAGGTATGCAAAGTGCACCTATTGAAAAAGCAGCTTGCAAGCAGAGAATTGTCATGAATAAGACAGTTTTCTTAGCGATAAAAAACATATAAAGCAATTTTTGTACTAGCATCTATTGGGTCTTCTGAAGCACCAAGTTGAACTGGGGCCAGTCATCATTTGTCATAATGACTAATCGGTAAATGCAAATAGTTACTGCTCCACAAATAACACCCAGCAATAAAATTTGGTGTAATGGTTTGTAAATTTCCAGAATTTTTTTATTGATGTAAATGCAGGAATTTTACATGCATTTAGCATACATAAGGAGGTCCCAAAGTCAGACTGTATTGGTTAAAGGCAGATTATGGTAATACATAGTGTTTGTAGCAACAGTAGCATCCTTCGTAAGCATGAATTATTCTAAACACGTTTGCAGTAGAACAGTAAAGGAATATACAAAATGAAAACAAAACATACACGATGAAACAAAATAAAAGTATGAATAATGCTCTAGAGGAGAACTAGAAAAAAATACAAAATGAAGCTATAACGCATAAATATGCAAGTTGAAACAAAATGATACTATAAAAAAGAACAGTAGTAAGCATGTATAATGTGCAATTTTAGTTCTGTCATAAATTGGTGCAAGTGTTTTGTATAAAAGCTAATAGTGATTAGTATTAAGCATTAAAAAGCACAGACCATTTGTGTTTTCATCTCCAAATAAAAGGGCTATTCACTGAAAATTTGGTAAAAACAGAAATTCTTCAATAATTTGTTTAGTACAAACTGAAAAGTTCCCCAGGCAGCATGAGAAGGGGGCTTAGATGCTCACATTTGCATGCAAGAAATCTGATAAAACACTGTAGCATTCACTTTTTAATGTGATCACAGTTAATGGATGAGTGGTGTGGATGATATTGTAATGGACAACATTTTGTAGGTTAAAAAAATGCGGAGGGAATTATGAACTAGTGGTGCTTTTTGGTGACTCAGAAAAGAAATATTTGGTGTGATTGTACTCTGAAAGTTGTGATATGCTTGGACACATAGTGTGCTATTTTTGTCATCCGTTTCACAGGAGAGTATTATATATGTTTTGCTTGCTTGTGGTTGTGGGAATAAGTTCACCTAAATTTCCTTAGTAGGTGTGGTGCAAATTATGAAACTTTGGGGATACTACTGAAGTCTCGCAGCATAATAATAAATTTGTGAATAATCAGTATGACTGCAGCTAACTGTAAATGGCTTGGTGGAGCAGGCTTTAGGGCAGCTATGTCTCATTTCATGCAATGTGTGATGGCAGCAAGGTATCTGATTAAACATCGGAATGCTGGTAAAATGTTTATCATACTTTTATTCATTTCACTTTTCTCCTTACGTATGATGTAAAGCTATTGAACGGCATATTTATGAGAGTACAAGTGAGATATTCAAGTTGCAAATGAAAGCAGCAACTGTAGTCTCTCTCCTATTGGTGTCTAATAGCAGCAGCCTTTGATGGATGCAGGAGGAAATATGCTTTGATTTCCTGCTACCAGGAAGTGTACGTGCTAAGGTGCCCTATGGCAGAAATTCATTTTGGTGTGCAAGTGTGATTACTTCTTTAGTACAATTTCATTATTTTTGTTCATCTTTTGGAATCACTGTTATTACCTAAATAACAGTACATCATAATCTTACAGAAAATTCATTTATGCAGCTTAAGTGGTGTGTATAGTTACATGAACTTGAAAAAATTGAAACACCCATACATATTTTAAATGAGTAATTATTGTTGAGACAATGTTAGGTAATGAAGAAATGAATAAAGAAACAAAGCAATGAGAGAGTACCAAAATGCTATCACTAAGTGGTTGTGGGTGGCTATGCAGCCTTTTTTTTTATTTTGCTCTTACTTATTATAGCTATATAGATAATAAATAATGCAGGTATAACTTGAACTATTTCATGAAATATCTTGTGTACAACAAAAAAGGAGGGCAATAGTAATGTACCATTTCCATAATTAAGGCTTGTTTTCTTATGCAGTTTGCCCAACTAATGGAAGCATGGTCATTTTCCTAACAGCATATATTTGGGTAGTTTCCTAGTACTATGACGAAGAAAATATAACACTCTGCTTTCAGGATATAAATGCGCATAAAGGAAAAGTCTTAGCATGGACAGCTAGAACCGTCTTCATTTGAACAATGTCAGCTGCCACCATTAGTTAGGCAAATCAATGCAGAGAGAGCTCTCGCATGCTTTGAAAGAGGACTATTATTACAAGATTGATTAACTTTATTCCCTGAAATACATGGTCTACGCGGGATCGAATCCCGGCTGTGGCGGCTGCATTTCCGATGGAGGCGGAAATGTTGTAGGCCCGTGCGCTCAGATTTGGGTGCACGTTAAAGAACCCCAGGTGGTCGAAATTACCGGAGCCCTCCACTACGACGTCTCTCATAATCATATAATGGTTTTGGGACGTTAAACCCCACATATCTATCTATCTGAAATACATGGTCTATCTAAACTTTGTTGCAGTTGTGTGAGCAGACAATTCAAAAATCAACACTGAAGTTTTTTTTTTTCTGAAATGAAGGCATGATCTAATCATTATTTTTGCCACAACATTGCATGCTCAGTTTCTATTACTATCACCCAGGTCTATGTGGAAGCTGAAGAGCTCACAATGATCAAATAAGAGAGATTTTCAAATTTGCATGTCCTGTGTGAAAATTAATGCTTGATCTATAAGTTTTGTTCTTTCTTTGCAGTGTGGAGCTACACGTTCTGAGCAAAGTTTGTTCACTGTCAACATCGGCAGCCCACCCATGTCTCAGATGATTATCTTTTTAAAAAGGTGAGAAGCCACAAAAACCTCGTAGTTCAGTATGATTGGTGTTGCTTTGTAAGTGTGCGTGCATACATTTGTGTGTGCACGCACATGCATAAGTGTGTGTGTGTGGGGGGGGGGTATTAGCCGGTATTGTTTTGCTCTGCTAAGCACTAGGTAGTGGTAAAGTTTCTATATTTTTCCCTCTTCTTTCGTAAGTACAAACACTCATTGAAGTGTCACGGACAAATCTCATTGGCTAATGCTAGTGTTCGGTAGCCATGTTCTTTCTAATGCTTTTCCAGCACCTGCTGTAATGCGTCACCTACGTGCTAACGACAGAGGACTAACGGTAGCAGGAAGGTGCGTCGCATTAGCGTATTGTTCACTGTCACTGTTCGCTGAAAGATGTGTAGCTAATGAATGTACTTAGATCTACGTGTCTTTGTAAATCTTCCTAGTTAAGAAGGAAATGGTGGCAGAGCCAGCTGCACGTGACAGAGGGCCATGAGAGGAGGCACTTGTCGGTACTTAAGTAAAAGAGCAAAATCTGAAGAGTTTAGGTAGTGGTATCAGGTCTTATACACAGTAGAGGCAAAATGCAAATACAGGCGAACCCCTTTATAAGAGACACTGATACGAGAGGAAAATGGGTATAAGAGGCACCAGTGAGCCTACAGTAAATACGGATTGGTAAGAAAATGCATACGTGGTGCCCTGCTTATAAGAGGCATCTTGTATAAAAGACGAGAATTGCTGCCCGGAGCATGCCTCTGTTAAACGGGTTCAACTGTTGTGTCAAAGTACCACGCATTTGAGGCATGGTACTTCGAAAAAATGGAAAACAAATAAACAGTGGATGAAAAAACAACTTACTACCTATGGTAGCCCGAACAACGATCTCCACATAATGTGTATGTCACGCTTCCAGTTGTGCTCCAGCAGCAGATACTCCTGTCCATATTCGAAGATGAATGTGTTTTTAAGTCTGGGAGTGCTAACCCATGTTGCTCATAGTTATGGTGCCTGATGTGAAATACAGTAAAACCTCATTATAATGAAGCAGGATATAACGAACTAATGAATATAACAAAGCAATTGTAATTCCCCTAAAATTCTGTATGTATTTAAATGCTCATTTTAACGAAGCAAAAAATTCCTCACAATGGATATAACGAACCATTCATCCACAATGAGCATTCACTGATAATTTTTGTATACGTCTGTTCAATATCCTATAACGTGCGGTGGTTTACGTCTCATCTTGATCGCGGTAATTCAAAACTCGCGCCTTGTACTCCCCGGGAGCCGTTTGCCAACACGCGTGTGGGAGCGAGTTTCCCTGCCTACCCTTTACTCAGGAACTAATGGACTCGCCTGCGCAGCAACTCGCGCGAGCGTGCGCGTCAGCCGACCTCCCCTCTCTTGTAGAACTCGTTGACCCGCCCGCGCATCTGCCCTCCTCCTCCCCTTTTGCTTCGCGCGGGGGGGGGGGGGGGTGCAGAGATTAAGCCACAGCCTTCGCTGTGGAAGAGCTACACCACCTCTATCAGTTTCTGCCGCTATACACGAGATGGACCACGACAGCGGCAAATGTAAGCACAAAAATATAACAATCGAGCAGAACTCGGCAATGTTGAAAGCCGTTGAGTCTGGCGTCAAGAAGAAAAAAAAGTGGCCGAAGATTTCGGCGATGTCGCCAGTGGGTGCCGCGGGCGACCAGGCCCAGACGTCGTGGGACACTGCTTGACGCCGGCGTTTTGCCTGACTGTGACACGTTCTGCATGTACGTCGGTGCCGATGCTGACATGGCGACAACCGAAGAGTTGTCCGATGCGGAAATTGTACCCACAGTAATGGGCGTGTATAACGACAGTGACGAATGTGTTGACACCCCAGAGCCTAATGTTGGTGAACACGACGTACTGACGCCCGCGAAAGTGCTGGATGCGACAGACCTGCTTTGCCGCTTCTTTTGTGCTTACGATGATGGCAAGGATGGACTTGAAATAGCCGCTGCAGATGAAAGAGCAGTCATCCACGTGAGGAAGAGTCGGCAAAAGCATATTAAGAACCATTTTTTTTTTCGAAGTGATCTGCCAGCTGTTGTGGTTAATTTGGCAGAAATAAAGTGGATTGTTCATTATTATTTTGCTACTTTTTGCCTTCCGACGGTCGTTTTTTTTTCTGTGCGGCAGGCTGCTGTGATATTAATTTATGAGTACATTCTCTATTGCTGGCTAATTGTTAGTAAAAATAGATATTGGCTATAACGATCTAATGGTTATAACAAAGTAATTACAACTCTCCCTTCAACTTTATAACAAGGTTTGACTCTCATTTTTACCCAATGGTGTAGCATAGTACGGTAACTTTAGAGGCTGTTAGCTAACCAGTTGACTCCAGTATGCTAACTGAAGGCAATGAAACCTGCTGGAATCTCAGCCCTCACTAATCAGCAAACAAAAAAAGAAGCGATCGGGTGTCCTGATGAAAATATAGGAAAATTCATTTTTAGTTTTGATTGTAATGGCAGTGTTGCATGGTAGAAGAAAATGAAAGGGGACGAAAACAGCCGTTTTCTTATGAGAGTAGTGTCCATGCTTTCCATGTTTTCCTTATCTTCATAATGAAATGGCAGCGCAAGCACACACGGGCAGAGGAAAGAAGGCGCATGAAACACAGCACTGACCTTTTTTATGGTACCTTCTTTCTTCTGTCCATGTGTGGTTGCACTGCCATTTCATTATAAACCAGCCCAATTTTTATATTCCCTATCTCTTGACTATCTGCCTCGGTAGATCAGTGGCTAGGGTGTTCGGCTACTGACCCAAAGGTCGCGGGTTCGATCCCGGCCACGGCGGTCTCGTTTCATTGAAGGCGAAATGGTAAAGGCCTGTGTACTGTGCGATGTAAGTGCACATTAAAGAACACCAGAAAATCTAATTTTTGGGAGCTCTCCACTACGACCTCTTTCATAATGAGATCTTGGTTTTGGAATGTAAGACCCCACTTATTATTATTTGTTGACTTCACATGGTTGTGTTCCACGAAAGTGGCCCCTTGATTTATTTTTATTTTATTATTTCATTTTTTCATTTCATTTTGAGGGTCTCGACTACCTTGAGATGGCTTATTAATAAGTTGTCTACTTGTACATTTCACATATCACATGACACCGTCTAGCAGATATAGTTAACCTCCAATGATACGCATAAATACCTAAGAAAGCATACTGGGGAAAAGACGGCCACCGCAGCATTACTTGTAATGTGCCAATCGGGTAATACAAAGCTTGTGGGGTTGTGAAGTTGGTCTCTTGTGGTGGCAAGTTATTTTTTGTCCATTTTAATTACTTTTTATGTTGTAATTGCCTCACTTCTATAAAAATAGAAATAACACCAGCTAGCAACCCGTAGCAATCAAACTGTCATCAGTGGAGTTAGATTAGCAGAGCTACTTTAAGAATTGAGACATTAACTGGGATATTATTGGCCTTGCTGAAGTTTGACTAGTCTAACTGAATAGTAAAACACTAAATCACTGCAGACTTGCAAACTGTTATTTTAGAATCGTATTGCCATCATAGGTTCATTACTAGAAGAGAAAAGAAAGGCCGACATCTTTTTTTTTAATTATGCCATGAAGAACTGGAAAAGCATAGGCAGTGTTGACTTAATTTTCTGTCACAGAGGGCTGCTAGAAAAGCAGTAGTGTTGCATGGTGTTTCTATACCACAAAGCTATTGTGGGTAATGTGGATGAATTTACATTGGTGAAAGAGCAGCATTCGTGACAGAACTAAATTGTAGATACAAACCTAAAGTAGCACAAGAGCACTCTTCAACATCGAGCCATGATGACAAAGAAGTGGAGCAGTTCTATGAGGAGATCGAGTTGGCAAGGAAAAATGTATGAAAAGTGCATCATAGTTCGGGGGAGTTTCAACATGAAATCGGGAAGAAAGCAGAAAGGAGAACAAACATTCAAAAGCAGTGGTGTCAACTCGTAAGAGCAATAGTGGAGAAATGTTCATGGAATTTGCCGAAAGGAATACACACTATAATAAACATCTTATTCGGAGAGCATAGGAATAGAAACTGGACATGGGAAACACCTAATAGAGAAACATAAAATTAAAGAGATTTTATAATTTGGAGGAAGCCAGTCACAGTACAGGACATTAAAGTACAGTTGAGAACTGATTTCCCGGACCCTCAAGGGACCATGAAAATGTTAAAAAAAAATCGGCCGTCTGGAAAAATTAATGCATGTGAAAATGCACCTTTTTTACAGGTTTTTTCGCTGACAGAGAGGCTAATGGCAGCAGTACAACATTCTCGTTGTAATCCAGCGAATGCATCATTTAGGTGGCTCTGAAAAGAGCCGTTTGTTTAAAAAAAAAAAGAAATTCAATGTGGCCGGCGCTACCTAATTGATCAACACTTGGGCCCAAAAAAAGTTGCTGGTTTTCTTCTGCACGGCATTCCACTTGCCTGCGATAATGTCTGCCTCAATTTCGGCTCAATTTCGGGTAATGTCATGCTGCCGCTGTACACCGACGACAGTGCCATCGGTGCTCGCATCAACTCCAAGCTTGTTGGCTGTGTAGGCGCTGCCTCTTCGGCCTCGGTGTTGTAGTCATTATAATCCTCCGTAACTAGATGACTCATTTCGTCATCTGTGAATTCCGCACACAGCTCAGTCTTTGTCAGTGTCGGCTTTGCCGACATTGACAAACACTTCGAGCTCTGTGCGGAATTGACAGATCGAAACTCCGGCAGCGCGCAGATCATCAAAGGCAACGTCCGCATATGGAAATTCGTCACACACGCTGTCTTCTTCGGGCGAGAGGGCAGTCTCGGCTTTGACTGTGAAGCCTGTGTGGCGAAAACAGTTCTGAAGACTCTCTTGCATAACTGCCTTCCACGAGCCAGCAATCATGTCGACCGCAGACCTGAGGTCAACAGCGTAGCTTTTCCCGCTGTCGGAGAACAGCAACATGCGACTCGGCACGCGTGATTTATA